GCATATGAGACGGTTTAAATAAAGCAGGTTCATTTCTCACCAAGATGTCTGCCATACAGTCAGTGATGGAGGATTCTGCCAGGTTGTCCTTGGAGCTGCAAACTCTGAAGATGTTGCAATAAACAAAAACAGTTTAATGAAGGGTTTAGAATAATAAAGGGTTTTCAACGCATTTTGCTGGAAATAGAGTTCTTAAATCTTAGTATGACGGCATACATAAGGAGGAGACTACGTCAAATCATAGCACTTGAAAGGGATGACTGGATGGCTTAAAATCAGAGCTACATATTACCAAAACGCGTTAATCAATCATACTCATGTCTAGCTTAAGTTTAAACAAAAACTTTTTTCAAAATGACCTCAAGTGCCTTTTTTTATTTTATTTGTCTGACCTCTTTAATTATAAATAATGCTAGGTAATAACTAATTTAGCCTCGATTTTAGGAAAGAGAAACAAGATGGGATCCACAAGGAGGGAGAAATAAAGTTAGACGTACGAGTACTTGGAGGATCCATTTTTAATAAACAACATGTTTTAATTTCTCTTGGTATACTAAAATTTACTCAAGTATGTTCTTCCCTTCTCTGTTTTTCCTACAATGTTGATGGGTGGTGATGATGATGATGATGATGATGATGATGATGATGATGATGATGATAATTTTTATTGTTGTTGTTGTTGTTGTCGTCGTCGTCGTCATCGTTGTCGTCGTTTTTGTTGTTGTTGCTGTTTTTGTTAACGATACTGTGTTTATTTTATTGTTGCTGTTGTTGCTGTTGCTGTTGTTACAGATTATCATGTTGTTATCATTATTACTATTATTGTTGTTGTTATTATTTTTTCCAATTCCGATGCTAGCGTTTTTGCTCTATTGATGCAACGTAATTTTTCCACAAGCAATAAATCCGCCCATAGATTTAGTTTGTTTTTTTCAAAACACAAAATCCTTCTCCATCCATCAAAGAACAGGTTTTAGGGAGAATGTTACTAAAAAATATCTTTTAGAGCCAGGGCATTTCACTTTGTAGTTCGCGTACAAGTATTCAGTTTTAATAGTCAACACACTTTTTACATGTAACAGCAGATAACCATCGCGTACTTTTAGTGCAAATATTATTATATCGCAATGTTTGTTCACTAGCTTCAAGACAAAATAACAAACTTCAATTTGATATCAATATCTCCAAATTAAATGTCCCAGAATTGTCGAGCCCCTGATTCCACTATATTTGCGACACCAAAAAGGTTATTCCTCGTCGTTTTTAGGGTTCGCCCATACCTGTACAACTGAGACGAGGTCACAGCTTTCTGACACAAACTCTTGGCCTGAGCCTCTGTCATGCCGTTGTCGTTGGGCCATTGACGGTTCGGATCCACATCTGGTTGAAGAAAAAAAAAGCACCAAAAAAACAACAACCAACATTAGCAACAAATATATAACTTGAAATGTAAAGGCTTTCCTCTTTAAAAAGATTGAATGCTTTTAAAAAATGATAATACATAACATCTGTTGTAAAGGTATACTTTTATTAATAAAATAGCTTTTTATTGTAACACATATATGCTTATTATGTTAAAGCTTTCCATTAAAAAATAAGACAGCTATTTTTATAATTGGTTATGCTTTTGAAAGGAGCACGCTATGTTCAACGTACACATTATATTTTGCCCCAATCGACACACTTTGAATAATTAGGAAGTGGGCTGCTTTAACACTGCCTGTCTGTTAACTTCTACACCACTGACGCCAGTGTTTGTTCATTGACTAGGTGGTAAGACTGTTGGGTACGCAACCGAAAAGGAATGGGTTCGAATCTTGTCAGGGCCTTATGTTTGGTCATTGGCACAGACACTTAACACGAATTCTCCTCACTTCACCCAGATGCAAATGGGTGCCTGATTATAGACAGCGGAACATCTTGTCGATTTGTTAGTGTTTTGAGGATTTATTCAGCAGCTTGCACTGTATTATACTTTCCGGGAAGCTGAACATGTTTTGAGTGTTCAAGATTTTAAACAATCTAATTCAGCAACGTTGGTATCACAGGGAGAACGAATGCTCAATATAACGACGAATAAAACACCCAAAATAATCCACACTGGCCACTTTCAATGCAGTTACAACAAGCGTTGCTTTTATTCATACCTAGAAAAGCACAATACTTCTATGTGCTACACTAATGCTGTAATTCAATTTTGTCGTAACGTGGTGGTATCAGGTGCACGTCAATTTTTTGTGCGTATGGAGTTATTGGTTTCATCTATTAGCTTGCTAATTGTCTTGCTTTTGATGAAAAGAAATACCGATCTATCTTAAAGTCGAGAAAGTTGCAACTGAAGACGGTAGGGGTGTCCTTGAAAACTTCAAAACTGTAAATTAACTTTTTTGTACCTTTGTCCGAACATTTTCAATAAAATTCACCCAGAAAGGTGTTTTTAAATGGAGATAACAGGAATATTTTACCTGGAAGATGTGCCTCCACATAGGGCGCGTCAGGGAGGTCTACATCTGAGTACACAGCCGCCCTCTTCTTTGTCCAGCCTGTGTTCTGCAGGCCTACAGGCTTGAGGGTGCTGGTCACTGCGGGGCAGTTGGTGCACTGGACACAGGACAGTGAGCAGTGGACTCAGTTTTCTTTATAATGCTGGGGTTTTTGTTTATCTATTGACACAATTTCTATTCTTTTTTCAGGGGTGAAAAGCTCATGTATGCTGCATGGCATTACTACTCGTAGTAATAAGAACGGAGGAGAGTTAAAGACAGTGAGAGAGAGAGAGAGAGAGAGAGAGAGAGAGAGAGAGAGAGAGAGAGAGAGAGAGAGAGAGAGAGAGAGAGAGAGAGGGGGAGAGACAGGCATACAGACAGACCGGAAATAAAAATAGACAAATAGGTCATTAAAAGGCGAGCTTTGAAACTACGGCTTTCTGTCAAGGCAATCTATGTTCATTAAACCTTTCTTTACTGAATTGCATCTTGATAGTTAGTCATTCTTATTCATAGTATTTTTATATTTATAGTATGATATATTAATATTGTCTTCAATATTGTCTTCAATGAGCTGTGATAATATGAATGTCTGCTAATGTACCAGCGTTAATCTAATGAGGACGGGTATGTATTTATGCATGTTCATTCACTTGTACCTTGTATTACGGTGACATTAAGTATTGTAAAGTGGACGTCATATAAGTTATTTACATTGTCATTATCGTTATTATCTTGATGCTGGAAAATACAGTGACACTCACAATTTCAAAATAGCTAATTATGTTTAAATTCAGTGCAAGAAATTTTGGGACCATGGGAGTATGTCCTTGAGTAAATCTATTTTAAAAATCTGAACAGACTGCTGCAAAGGCATGTACTGAGTATGCAGTTTGTCGAAAACATGTGTGGTTAAATCTACGTATTGACAGTGGGGCCAGTTTAAAGTGAAATGTACGACAGAGCCGGATTTTCTTTGGTTGACCAGTTTTCGGCTTAAAGATTTTGCTCAGATACCAAATGTGAGGTGTGCTGACAAAATGAGCTACTTCTCGGATTTTAACGGTATGGAAGTTGGTCCATCAACTTTGTCGGTGGAGTTTACACAATTTGTAAGTATGGAATACTAAAAGACATGGGAGACTTGAACAAAATAGCGTCAACTGAAAATCAATAAATCTGACCCCAGTGTTGACTTTCGGAAAATATCTCCATTCTTGGATTGTGAGAAGTAACTCATTTTGTCAGCACACCTCACAAATACAAAACTCGGGGATTCTATTATTTTCCTGCATACCGCTGTTTTAGGATTAACCGTGTTCGGTTGAAGTGGACTCTGCTGTATGTGTCAATTTTATGTGTACATGATTTTCTATTACGCCACTGTGAAGCAAATTCTTCACGGAGATCGATAGGTTGGAATACAATTTCTTTTTCTTCTTTAAAAAACAAGAGGTTGTTTACTCACAGCCGTGTTCCGCATGAATACGTCTCCGCGGATTGTGCAGTTGATGGCTGGGTGGCCACGGTGGTTGTCCTTACAGGCACAATACTTGAGTTCTGACGTGTCCGGCACTGGGTTTGGAATGTTCTCGAACATGCTCGTTCGTGGGCTACTCCTGTGGGAGAAATGTGAACCCTGAGCAAAGGCATTTCATGGACCCCCCCCCCCGCCCCCCCCAAAAAAAAGAAGAAAAAAAAAAAAAAAGAAATCTTCAAATCTCAACCCTTCAATTCTTGGAACTATTTAACCTACTAGGCGCATTGGAGATCTTCCTTCTATGACTCATTGAGGGTAGGGGTTGTGGGGACAGGGGGGGGGAGGAGGGGATCGGGTGAATTAAGAGCAATTGCGCTATATATCGTAACAGTCCGTGCGTTTCAAAATTAAGGGCGAAGATAAAGGAATCCGGAATTGGAAACTCAAGTTTAAATCTATGGTATTTCAAAATCATGATCTTGCTACGCCAACTTTCATTTCTTAATGTGGCAGTAATATCAATGACTATAATGTACACCTTCAAACCTTTCTGTTTCGTCTCCTGTAGGGATCTAATACCTAGTTCACGATGCCAATCGGGGCCAGCCATATTATTTTCTATTATGGATGGAGCAAAAGGTCCCAATTTGGCACTGTGCAACCTACATCAATTAAATTCGACTGTGACCTTCAGAATCAAATGCGCTTATTTTTCAAATTCGTGAACACAATCGGTCTGTTTGCGCAAAAAATGAAAGCTCTTGCTACATCTACTCGTACTACGGAAAATGTCCTTGGCACCTATTCAGTCTGATGATTTCATTTTCGCAGTGTACTCTAGGTATACGCATGTCCAAATGGGTTCTTGACGGATACTATGGTGTGGTTTGCAGTTCCTCTCCGATCAAACGTCTATTCTCCTTATCTCTCTGCTCCTTCTTCTTGTATTTTTTACTCTTTTGCAACATCTTATTGGCTTGCAGGTGCTATAAAATGATTACTACAGCTACAACACTCGTTTCCGAAGGCATACTTTACCTCCAGGCCTCTTCAAAGTCCACGGGGATACATCTGCCTTCTCCATCTCTGCACACTTTGTCTTCCAAACCATCTGGATGGGTGAACTCATTGCTCTGTAAGTAAGTAAAGCGTAAGTTTTGGATTTAACGCCATTGCAAATGTATGGCTTTAACGCTACTTTAAAATGTAGGGGTTTAACGCATCTATAATTGTATACATGTACGGGTTTAATTTTCTTATAAATGTATGGCTTTAACGCACCTCTAAAATGAAGGGGTTTAATGCATCTTTATATGTAAGAGTTTAACATACGTATAAATGTACGGGTTTAATTCCCTTACAAATGTATGGATTTAACGCATTAGCTGTCTCAGATAGGACCAAGCCAAATTAATGGGTTGAAGGGTTTGTAAAATTCCTCAAAATAATCTGAGTTCAAGAACGCCCAGTCCGGGATTCGAACCAGGGCCATCCTTTCGTAGTCCACCACGTTACCAAGTGAGCTAACAAAGCACCTGTTTTGGCCTCTGGACGCCAAGAGAGGGTAGTCCCACACTAGGGCAGGTTACATTATATGTGATACATACTGACATGGTGGGTTCGTACCAGAGGTTATTGTATTATATTACTGATACAGATAAGGTGCATTCATACCAGAGGTGATAATATTATATATCAGACCGGGAACATTCACATTAGGAGTAACTACATGATACAAACACTCAGGGTGCGTCCACGTTAGAAGTGATTATAATATAAGACAGAGGACGCCCACAATTAAGAGATTACATGATACCCTAAATACAGACAAGGTACGTTAGAGAGACAGGACGCACTTGCTACAGAAGTGGTTACACAGGGTGCGTTCACACAATACGAGGTTACATTATACAAACATGAGGTGTGTGTTCACATTATGTGCGGCTACATTATACACGTCGACAGGGTACAATCACAATATGTGAGTGATTACATTACACATAAAGACAGGGTGCGTTCAAACCCCGATCGATTACAGTGCACAAAACACCGTGTTTATTTAAATGAAACAATGCAGAGATCCATATCGTGATATTATTATGCGCCCAAGACAAGACAATTTTCAGAACAGACCCAATCCTGTTCGACAGTAAGTATGGGACGGGTATCCTTCTCTTTCCCCCCCCCTCCTCCTCCTCCTCC